GTAAAATTTCGAACTTTTTTTCCTTCCTGATTCTAATGCACAACTTATCCTTCATTATACATTTTTTTACCCAACCCCCATATTATACCAGAGAGAAACAAGAGCTTATTTAAATAATCGATTCTTGCAATGATAAAAGGTGGAGAGGATAAAATTCAAACCACTGACGCCCTCGCATCTGAGTTGGGCCATTTTTTCCACTCCCGATTCCCGGAGCACCGATTTTTTACCTCGCCTCCTGGTTGGCTGCTTTCGATGAAATACTTTGCATTAATTATGCGATGGCTGAAAATATCTCAGCATTTGATGAAACCCCGCCCTACGCACACATTAAAAGAGCCGTGGATTTTTTTTTTCTTTTTTTGTCTTTGCAAAACACTAAGCTTTAACGATCATTTCACCAATGAAGTTCCCCTCCCTTTAAAGCTTCTTTTCCTTCTCTCCCTTTCGCTCGCCAACCCTTTGGCAAGCTTTCTTTTTTAATTAGAAACAACGCCCCTTTTACTTTAAAATGTGGGACCTTTATTATTATTTTTTTTTTACCTCTTATTTGTTTTCGCGCTAAATTTCAAAAAAGGAGAAAGAACAAACTAAACCCGCTGAACGCGAATCAATAAGTACCTAAAGGGTTATAATGGCGCAAAACTTTTCTTTCAAAGAACTTTTCAATTAGCCAGGTAGCAATGGTCCGTGAGTGTCTTTAGTAAATGACATGGAAAATGGCTGCCTTCAGTATTTTATAGTAACTTTTAATGTGCACCTTCGGGCTGTGTGCAATTACCTCTTACTGAAGAAAAGCTTTTACTCATTTTATAAAAAAGAAAAAATATTGTGAGTTACAGATCTTAGGCAATTTCATTAATTGGTGATGAGCTTAATAGTTAATAAAAATGTTTTCGAAGGGTTAGATATTGCTCATTAGGTGCTAAAACGGGGAATAAAAAAATTTAAAATTTCTTGTTATAAATAACTTCTGAAACAGTATTTACCATTGCAGATAAACTGAAGAAACTCATATGGAAAAAAAATAAATAAAAAATGTCGACAACTTAGCCACCGGTGGAATTTTTCTTTTTATGTTTAATATACTTTTTGAATATAAGTTTTCTGCAATTTTTTGTTCTAGTTCTTTCTCCTCAATTCTAGTTTAAATTGCATGTAAGAAACTGGCGTTCAAGTTTTTAATATTTCTTTCCTGTTTTTAACCAAAATTAAGTGTAAAAAGTTCTAACCTTCAATTTTTTCGAGCAGTATTTTTTCTTTGGTTCATTGTATGCTCAGATTTTTATATATTTATTTATTTTCAATTTAAATTTCATTATAAGCGCAATTTTTACTGGAATTTAAAATATGGTGCTATCCTTTTTAAGTGTCAGTACATTTCTATTTTTTTTCCTATAATGTTTCATGAAGAATAAGTGATCAGCATTTTAGAGTTTCATATTAGTGGCTTACATTTTTTTAAACAGATGAGTAGATATTATATTATGCATTCAAATCAGTCAGAATATGATGCATCATCTTCTACAATAGCAAAAACATCTGCAAGTAAATAAATAATAACGCTTCCAAATTTTTTTCGGTGTTGCAGATAATTATGGCTGAGTTATAAATTATTGGGGTGTTTTCGTTTTTGTAGAATATTTTTATGTTTTTTTTAAAATTTTACTTTAAGCGCAATTCATCTGATTAAATAACTGAAAACAATGCCGAAGATATATGTTATAAAGAAGAAATAAAAAGAAATATCTATACAGAAAATTTCTAAATAAATAATATGACTTATAAATCCACAGTCCAGACGAGTATTTTGAACTTTTACGAAATAAAATTTTATTGTACCATAATGAAAGATAAAATGATTTACAGAATGAGTTTCTATATTTTTGACCTTCTATAGATTTCTAAACTAAGGATATGCTAAAAATATTAGCATGCTTAAAGATAAATGATTTCCAGGAAGAGTTTTTAAATCATCTACAGATTGCTAAACTAAGGATATCGCTTAAAATATCCCTAGTCCGGACGTGCTTTGAAATATTGCAAATTATATGGACGGATGTTCAAAAAACTACGATTTTAAGGAAAAGTCGTCAAATCTTTGATCTTCATGAAAGTTATAAACTACGGATATGGCCAATGTGTTTATAATGTCTTAAGTCCGGACGTGCACTTGGGGTTCTGCAAAAACAAAATAATATTGAAGGATGTTCAAAGAACTGTGATTTACAGGAAGAGTCATCCGATCTTTGAACTTCAGGTGAACTTCTAAACTACGGATATGATCAATATGGCTAAAATATCCTTAGTGCACGTGGAACACTGAGAAGACAAAAGTGAAACCCGAAAAAAAAAAAATCACTGTGATTTACAGGAAGAGTCATCGGATCTTTGAACTTCAGGTGAACATCTGAACTACGGATATGACCAATATGCCTAAAATATCCTTAGTGCACTTGGAGCACGGAGAAGACAAAAGTACCCCCCCCCCAAAAAAAAAAAAAAAATTACGAAAGAGTTTTTTAACCCTTCGTATCCCACTTGCAGAGTTCCTTTGCGATGTCATGGGAGAAATCTTAAACTCTGAATAGGCGGATGAATAAATTTTAAGCGTACAATATCTATTCTATTGAAAAGAATATCTATACTGAACAATACAGTACATTGGATTTTGGAGGTTCATTCGCCTTTAGGGATTACCTACCCCTTGCAGCACCGGGGAAAGGGTTAGGTAACCTGTGAACTTTGGAAGTCAGCGCCCCCTGAAAGTCGAAAAGGACAATAGTTCTAAGACCCGGAACAGGTAGAGGCGTCATTTAGGGACCAAATAGGGGTTCGGGTTGTAAAAAAAAGGGTGCTTCAGGGCAGAGGATTTCTCTCAACCCTTTACCTGTCTCAAATTAATCTGAAACTATGATCAAAGACGTGAGAACACTTTTCTTATGGCATCCGGCACTCATCTCAGGACACCAAGTTCTTTAACTGCGGCCAATTATTATCTTTATTCTTAACGGTAATAAAACTTTGATAAAAAATACAAAAATTAAATTTTAATTTTTATTAAAGAAAGAACATAAGTTTAAAAATTATTTTTCAGACAATGTTAAAACGACGCACACTAAAAAAAAAAGTTAAATGGATTTTTTTTAACAAAAATTAAATGTAAATAAGTATAAGAGAAAATATATATGATAAATATACATTTTCTCTCATATATGAAATATATAAATGAAATGTATAATGGGGGAAAAAATCACTATTTAACGTAACTGTTTATTGTTGCATTTCCAGTTTCTTGTATAAAAACGCCCTTCTTAAGACTATAGTACCCGGTTGTTTTATCCAAAACTATTCTGTTCTTTCCAAAATTAGCTCTTATTCTAAGACAAATAATATAAAAAAAAATTACTAATCTAACGAATCATATTACTGTTTCAATCCTTTGATTTTATATCATCGGTACTCTGCTTTTAGCAGTTAAACATAATTCTAGAAAAAAAAATAATAAAAAAAATAATACACATTTTACCATTGGCATAACTTCAGGACATTTATATATTTATAATGGGAAAAAAATAAATTTAACGCAGCTCTTTGTTTAATATGTAGCTTTTCAGTGTTTTGTTTTCAGTGAATTCAGTGTTTTGTATTTATATAGTATGTAATTGTATCAATTTTCGACTTTTTAGGATTTTAAGACTAGAGAAGGAGTGAGATATAATTTTTTGTTTGAAAATGTAATCTAACATAATGCATTTAGAGTTAACTATTGTTTTATTTATTGGTATTTTGAGCCTTAATGTCCTTTTGAGACATAACCGCGGTAGTTATAACCGGTAGTTGGAGTTCTTGTTTTAAGTTGGTATTAACCTAAGTTTTGATTTATACCAAATAAAAAATGTATCAATCTATCACCGAGAGAGCTTAAACTAGGTTTATATTTATGGTATATTTTCCGCTTATAAAGAATTTTGTCTTTATTTTCCTGCAACAAGAAGACGGGCAATCTTAATTTATGAAGTTCTTTGCGTTTGATTTTTTTTTCTCCAAATTTTGCTCAAATTAAAGGGTTACTAATTTGGATGTTCAGACTGCTATATATTTATATAAATTTATTAGTTCATTTATGGCGATAAAACTAAGGAGTGTGAAACTAAAATAACACTTTTGTTAAAGAATCGTCGAAATAATTTTAATTAAAAAAAACTGGAAAACAATACGAAAATTGGAGAATTTAAATAATTGATCAGAATTTTATGTTAGAACTAAGTAAACTCGTTAAAATAAAGATTTGTTTTTTTTTGTTGAAAGAAATCAATCTAAATTTTAAAAATTTTTTAAAAGTTATTAATGAGTAATCGATTCCAATAGATATTACAATATATAAATTTCCAAAATAAATTTAAAAAAATAAAGCATACAGTTAAGAATGCTAAGCAAAAATGAAATGATCTCTGCATTCTTACATAGCAAAAATATGAAATACTCAATGAGCTGTAATTTTTAAAAAAGATTTCAAATACTTCCTTAAACAATTTTGAAAAACAATACAAGAAACTTTAAGCAAATGAGATTAAAAAAATATATAATTTCCCTAATAAATAAATTTATTAAAATACTTTATTCATCACAATTAAAACACTTTTTTCTTCAATGATAAAGCAAGACATAAATAATAGTATAAAAAGAAAATCGGAAAAAAAAGAAACAAATTATTTTTAACTACAAAGGAGTTTGCATTCATCACTAGAAACATTGAAACTTTGTACTTATTGTAAAGTACTTTGTAACACAAATTTTTTTTTTCTTTAAATGCAGATCAACAATTTAACAAACCCCTCTGTATTTACAAATATTTCACAGAAACCTACTAATGAATATGGTTATTTTCTCCTGATTGTCGCCATCTTGACTAGAAAGACTGTTAAAGGAGAATCACCTACCTGACTTGATTATAAACTGTTTTGCGCATTGTCTAGGATTTAAAAAGGGAAACATACCTGTCTAACCTCTTCAATTGTCTACTCAATTCACTCTGTTCATTGACTAATTGATAATGCTGAGTGGCAAGAACATCTAGCTGTGTCTGTATTTGACCTACAGCAGCAATGTTGTGAGTATCTTTGGATTGTTGAAGCCCAGTTTTTAGGTCAAGCTGTTGGCCAGTTAGCAATTTTATCTGTTCAGTTACAGCTTCAAGTCTATCCTATAAAAATTAACTTAAAATTAATTTGAATATAGATTCATTATATATAAATATTAATTTATAGGAAATTTCGGTAGGTCATGTAAACTATAGAAATGTAAACGACAAGAACCTAAATCCACAAACTACAAAATAATAATAATAAAAAATGAGAAATAAAAAAATAAAAATTTTTTAAATAATATATTTAAATAATTTTTGTGAAAAATTCAATAATAAAAATCAAAAACATTAGAAAATTAATTTTGAGAACTTTTTTAATTAAAACGCAAGCTAAACAAAGCTTTTAATCAATCAATGCGCTGTTATTTTAATTCCATAAATTATTTCTAAGAGATGACGCAATAATAAAACGGTTAATCTGATAAAATTTGTAAATCGAATCAAACAAGTGTTCCTCTCATGGTAATGTTATCTTCATATTTTAGGAAACAAATTCACTTAATTTACATGTTCCGGTTAAAAACTCTGGTTTATAATCAGGTTCTGTTTTATGTACAGCAAATTTATTTTCACTATGGAAGTCATTTATGACCCGATTTAATAGTCTTAGTTACATAAGATTAAATGTATCTTCAATAATCAACAGGGTTTGATTCGGATTATTATAAAGCAAATGCTAAACTGGAATATTTGTACAGTATACCTGTCACACAGAAACTTGTTTTTTTTTTTTTATAAAAAAGAACAAAGAAAACATTTATATTTTTTCAATAAAAATATTTTATTTTGATTATCCTTTATTCGAAACAGTATTTAATTAATACTTTTAACTTTCTCCTTTTTATGTGTAAAAAAAGGATGAAAGTAATTTAGCATGATTTTAACTTACTAATAATGGCACTTCTCCTATTTATTTATAATATCCTTAAAAAATTTTTTTTATTATTATTTATTCCAAATATGGTGTTTTATATTTCAATTTATTTTGTTTTCAGAAACATTATTTGATGAATTTTTGCAGACTTTTACTTCCTATATACCTCACTGTCTCTGAAACAGAAAGCGCATCTTTTCTCTAGAAAAATTAGCGAATATCGTTTTCGGGATTTAAATGAGTTTAATAGAATACTTGATTATTTTTTAATTTTATTTAAAATTAGTTTTACAGATTTCAAAAACGATTCGTTAAAAACTTCAAATTTAAAAAAAAAATCTTTTCAGTTTATTTATCATTTGTACAAAATTCGTTGAAAAAAAAATATGTATAAAAAACTATTATAACAAAATAAAAATAAAAAATTTTCATTTAAACACTATTATTATTTCTCTATTAAATTGAAATATTACTTGTCTTCTCTTTCGTTCTTCCTCCATTTGATTAGGATCCGGTAAAGCACCAGGACTACCATCGAACCTTAATCTTTTGCAACTTTCATCATCGAAATTTCTGGAATAACACTGAGACCTGAAAAGAAATTGAATACGAACTGCTATAATATGTTCACACAAAAGTTGTAGCAGGTTATATATATTTAAAATAATATATTATGAGTGAATATCTTTTAACAAAAAATAAATGACACACAAATTATAGAAAAAAAAATCTTTCAATAATTTTTTTAACGATTAAAAAAAATCTGACAACGAGTCTATAGTTTGAAGTGTAAACAAATGTTCTTACCTTGAATGTCCCTTTGAATATTGATAGCCACTGTCACGGACAACCTGCCTAGCCAATGGAAAAAGCTCATCTCGTCTAGTTAAAAGGGCCGGAACATGTTTGCATATTTGGGCAGCTGCTTCATTAACAGATACCTGGAGGAAATAGCAAAAAAACAAGATCATGAAACTATCAGAAAAATAACTTTCTACACAGGTCGTTCTAAATAGAAAATGCGGTACTGCTTTTAGGATCTTCTTTGTCCCTAATTTTATATTTACTAAGCTAGATATTTTTAACTTGCACTTTAGTAGTTTGCAACATGAATGCTCAAGGGAATAGTTGATATATTGTATTTTAACACTAAAAGACAATCCGTAGTTAATTATAAACTAAGTATAAACAATTAAGTTGCCTAAATTATACCACCTTTGATATCAAAAGAAGTATATTACATGGAAAACGCTCTGTCGGGTAAATAATGAAACTTTTTCAAGTGGAGGTTCATGCAGAAATCGCTGTGTACTCGTGTTTGGTTTTTATCTAAGTTAATCAGTTTTACAGGCTTTAAATGCAGTTTTTGAATATCCCGTGTAAGGATATAGCGACTACAGATTATTTAGCGCATCATATAATTGTTAGGAAATTAATTTTGTTAAGTTGTACTTGTTTCTTTGCTAGCTAGCAATTTTTTGGAACAGCATTTTGTTTAAATAGTTGCGCAGCTGCCTAAAATGTTACTTTTGTGCAGTCCTAACTCGTATGAGTACGATTTAGGAGAATGGTATCAACTTCAACAACTGAACAGGTCGATTTTCAAGCCATTTAAACTGCGTGACAACCAAACTGTCAAAAAATGGCTGAGAACTATTTCTTGACTAATTTGCTTCGAATATTTCATTTTTTACGATATTTACGATGTCATCTCATAGTAAAAAGTTATTAAAAGAATTTAACTAACAATCTGCCTTATGACAGGGAATTAACAGCCCCCATTAGCAAAGTTATGCAAACACGACATAGTAGTAATACTGATAGTAGTTGACATTTTTTACAAATTTATCAAAAAAACCATATTAAATATAATTTTTAACTCGTGAAATAATTTTTTAAACATAATTTGAAAGAATACCAGCCCCCTGCTTTACATCTGCAATTACAAAGTTAATTAATTTTTCTATAATCATATTTTTAACCCTTTGCGGTTGCATAAATTTATGCATGGGTGTCAGGCTGGTCGGAATTAATTTTCGCTGAACGAACAGTAATGCATAATATGCAAGATTATGAAGGAAAAATAAAATGTACTAATTCTATTTTTAACTTTAAAAAAAATGTAAAAATTATATTTCATAGTTCTCCATCGTGTGGTATGTTTCAAAGCAGTCTCCAATGAAGCCCTAGTTTTCCAGAACATGTGTCTCAAAAATAATTAGTTCGACGTCTTCTGCCTTTAATTTTTCCGTTTGAACAAAAAAAACAATTCTTACTCTTTATAGTGCTGCAATATATTTAGTTTGCCAGTAAGCTGTGGCTAACATCTTTGCTGTGGTGGCTGAAAACAGACATACGACTGGAACGGTAAAAGAGCGTTGGTGGCTGAGAGTAGACATACGACCGCAAAAGGGTAAAAAAGGCTGTTTTTAACACACTAACCCCACTACACGGGGCTAATGTGGAAAATCCATGGGGCTAATTTGGACAAACTTGGTAACTTATTAAGTGGTAATTTATTTTCAATTCAGAAAGGGCGAAAATGAAATCAATCTAAGCCTTATAGGAGAATAAATATTGAAAAAAATAAATAAAATACTAGTTTGTGATAGAGCATTTCACTATACTAGGAAAAATATTAATAACGTAAATCAATAAATTTGAAAATCTTTATTCAGTTTGATATATTTTATAGCAGGCAACCAATTTTAAGTCGAATCAATTTCAATAACTATAGTTTTAAAATGATAATGAAATGATTAGAATGAAGAGCATACGGAGCACGTGGCTTAACCATATTTCTCTCACTAGAACATAGAAAACAACTCGCAAAAGAGAAGATGATACTGTTGTGGATAGTTTGTTTTAGCTTAATGTACGGCCCAAATTAATTCGGCTATTTTGAATTATATTCTTTAAATAAACTTGATGGGCCCGGGATAGCCCGGTAGGCAGGGCGCTGGACTCATTTTCGTGATAACGGGAGTTCGAATTCAGCCGACCGAAGAATCCCCGTGTAGTAAATGGTGACTGGTGCACGTTATATCTGTCCGATCACAAAGTCCTTCATATTATCATAACAAATTGTACCTTTGGGGGTAGTACTGAATTGGAGATTGATCGTTCTCTGGTTCAGGTCAAAATAACAATCTGTGGATGAATGTATGCATGTATGAATGATTCCGACCTATAAACGGGTGTGACGCATGGGTGTGGCAGAAGTCGAATTTTTGGCTAGTGATGGCGACACTATAAAACAAGAACAATCGCACCCCTTTGCCTTAATTGCTTACGTCAACAACAATAAATAAACTTAACAAAACATCTTCTTTATATTATCGTAAAACCTTTGAAAGTGAATCAATATAATAGTTTCGCTCTAAATATTTTACGTAATAAGAACACAACTAATTGTAAAGGTATATCATGCTACAAAATCACTCACTCTGATTTATAAAATAAATAAAATCAAATGTGTTAAAGTTGAAACCAATTCATATTTCTTTGATTAGATTCCACACTTTCTCTACTACCATATGTCAACTCTAGCCCCCCCCCCCGGATGACACGTGTTTGCTAATGCTGGTCAATACAGAGCATATTAAAATAAACTGTTGAACCTTTAAATATGCCTGTCAAATCTTTAATTTGAAAGCTACTTTTGCTCCTTAAAAACTTTCTTATACAAATTTCTTCAAAATTATTCACAGTATGATTATGTAACTGCAAATGGAAGTTTACAGTGTGCAACAAAAAAAGAACCGTCTTGAATAACTTTTGATCTAATGATCAGATCTTCACGTTCTAAGACTCAATCTTAATGGTTTGAGCTGGTGACCTCAAATATGCTGGAAAATTAGTGTCGACGATATTTTAAGTAGTGAAATCAGACACAAAACGTACTTTCTCTGAATAAGCATGCTCTTTTTCGACGGATTTATGACCCCCAAAATATAGAGGGTAGCCGCAATCTGGGAAGTATGGTCTCCATAGTTTGGATCAGGAGAGCGATACAAAGTTTAGATCCCTTAAGAGGCCCTCCTCTCCCGATCGAATTCAACTGTTGAAGGGATGGAGCAGGGGAGGAAAATTTCTAAACATGTTTTTAATCCTTTTCATTTATTTTTCACAAATAAACTGATGATGGATTCGATTTAGCGTTATTTTTCGATACACGTAAAATATAAGGCCGTCACTCAATCAGACTTTGAGATATAAAGCGTGCAGTATTACAAATTCTCTAGTAATTTTTTCTCACAAAATTATGCCAAAACCAATCTGCAATTAAGAGTTTTTGAATATTATTTAAATAAAAAACATTTATTAATTTTTAGATTTTTGATGAGTTACATTATTTTTATGCAATTGATGTTAAATTAAATTTTTAGCGTCATCCAAATTGGTTTTCATTAATTTAAACTGCAATGAGAAAAATTAAAATACTTAGGAATGTGTAGTTTTAAATTACTTACAGAAAACCACAAATCGCATCATTTTTCTAGCTTTTAAAGTTTTGATTAAAAATTCATAGAAGCTCTAAAAATTATCAAGCCTTACTTTTCTTAATCTAATAAAGCGACCCCTTTATTTTCTACCTTTTTTGAGAGGTATTGTGTTGTCTACTAATACCATCAAATATTTGTCGAGTACAAAAAAAATATCAAGAAATCACAAATTAAAAACTGAACCTAGAATACAAGATGGCGAGGGAAGATGCCTCTTAATGATGCCTTAAACCAAATTTTAAACACACGACTTTTTTAAAATTCAATTTCTCAGGAATTATTCGACTGATTTCGTTCACACTTTGTATTTTTGCATGTAAAAGTACATTCTCAAAAGTGATGAAAAAAACTGTAAAGATTGCAATTCAAAAAATTTCGATTATAAATAAATAAATAATAAAAAATATTAAATATATACTTAACGTTATATTTTGCATGGAATTATCTTTGGATAAACAAATGTTATAAGTGTGTGCAAAAAGTTTTCAATAATGAAAAGAGAGAGAGAGAAAAGAATTATGTGTATATATATATATATATATATATAATCGAGTGGGCTGATGAAAAGTTTATACCTTTTATTTTCCGGATTTTTAAAAACAAATTTATTATTTTTCTTGTGGATTTTTTTTATTATTATATATTTTTTCCCCCCAGTTGTTTGTTATTTCTTATTATTATTTTTCTTTTTCCCCTTTTTTTCATATGTCTGTAATTTTCCTTTGTTTTATCTTCATTTTGAACTTATATATATATATAGATAAATTCTCATTAAAAAAAAAATTTTGTAAGAAATTGTTTAAAATTTTAAATTGTTTGATTATTACTTTGAAAAATCAAGAATTGTTTGAAATATAATAACATTTTTAAGAAATTTCCTATTATGAAATACCATTAAAAAACAAAAAACACAATACCTCGTGCAAAGTGAGGGGTTTTTCCGGCTTTCTCTTACAATCAAATCTTCCATAGATGGCAGCATATTTCCTTATTTCATCCATCCTCCTAGGATCATCCTCGGGCATGTTCATCACATACTGTGAAAAGTCCAAAAAAATTTATTTTTAACGCAGCTCCCTTTGATAGAGAAAACTTTCTTAGAAAGTTGCTTGAGATATTCATCAAAATCAAAATTGAGGAGACAAATTATGCTTAATGTGTTTTCGAGGTTATTTCTAGAGGGTTTATCGATTGTGGCAACATTTGTTGGTCTATAAAAATATAAGCGTTGCTCTTTTAAAGCTATAAGAAAATAGTATTTCACGAAAGTTTAACGTATTCATTTTTATAATGACGACGATTAACGAGATGTTTCTAATAAATACAATAACTAAATAAGAGTATAAATAAATATATAAATAAAAGCATTTCAAATTAATAAACATGATGATCTTTTAAAGCTGTAAAAATTATTTTGTTTTTCCGAAACTTTAAAAAATATATAAAATTAAAAGGAGAAAGAAATATCTAAGAATTTCATTAAACAGTGCTTATCATTTTAATTCGTCGGAAAAATTAGAGCATATAAATATAAATAATGTCCCGTTAAATATTATCATAACAAGCTATTTCGTAATTAATTAAAAAAATTTTTTTTGAATTTTTGGCACTCAAATTTATAATTTTATGATCACAGAAAATTTTAATCACTGTATTTTTTTAATTTTTAGCATACATCATGTTATAAACCATATTATAAAGAATGTCATGTTAAAAATTTATATTAACCAATATGATTAAAATGCTTTTAAATATTTAATGATCCGTAAAAAAAAAAGGTTATAAAATTAAAAAATAAATAATAGAACGAATTTTATATTATAAATGATGGGTACAGACACTCTTAAATGAAATTTTGGTTAAATTCGTTTTAAAATTGTAAAATTATGTTAAAAATGAGTTTAATTTATTTTGATTCTTTAACTTAAATTTGTATAATTGTCATAAAATTTTAAGTTAAGCTTCGCGTTAAAAAATTAATATTTTTATTTTTTATAATAGGTTTTAATTTTATTTAATAATTTCAATTACTTTTTTATTTAGTGTTAAAAGAAGTATTATTATCACTACAAGTTGAAACACAATTTTTAGGATCTATCTTCAACGAATTTTGTATTTGAAGGACGTATTATTTATTTTACCATACATCCCTAGCATATATCATCAATATTTATTACTTAATGAGAAATAAGTTAGTTTTGTATGACTGAAGAATAAAAATAAAATGAAGATATAGAAGTATCAAGAGAAGGATTCAAATTAGTTAACGAAGAAGTGCTGGTTTTGTTTAAATGAAGACAAAAATTTTAATACTGCGAAAAAAATAATTGCAAGAATAAAAAATATAGTAACTATCGAAAATGACGTCACGACTAGATACATAAATAAGAAATATTTACTCTGACTTAGAGTTTAAAGTTATCATGTTTATATTAAAGTTTTATTTTTTAAAGCAAAAGAAATTAGAAAGAAAAACGTCTATTTTTACAAGTTATGAAGAACGTTCAAATGCAGGGTTTTTCGTCAAGGTAGCTTTTAATATACGACTGGAGTATCATTATCGAAAATGAAAACAAAAAAGAAAATGCAAATTAATATTTTACCACGAAAAAAATAGAAACTTTATTTAAATCGGAAAAGTTACAGTGGAGGAAGGCGTATGTAGTAAATATCAAAACAGGTTTAATTAGAGAGATTGAAACTTGAAGGTGCTTCTAATAATCATCTCCTTTCTGTTTCCACTCACAACCTGACTTGTTGTTTATTACGTTCCCCTTCCTATACTATGATTAATCAGATTTCGATAGTATTTTTATTAAATAATTTTACAAAAATAAAAAAAGATAAACAATAATTTTACAGTTTTGTTAATTAATTTCCCAGATTAAATTACAATAGCAATAATGCTTTACATCCGATTTATTACAAAGCGTCTACAAACTGAGCTTAAAAGGTATATGATTAAGCAGGGAAATAGATATCTTGTTTAGGGGGAAATAACAATTAATAAGATGATGCAAGTTGTTTCATTTTTTCTATTTACAAAAATTATAAAAATGTAGATTGTTTCAAAACACAAAGTATAAGGGAAAAATCAGCAAAAATTTGGTATGGGAATAAATTAAAGTTTCATCAATAAAATTAGGCAACCAAATCTTAATTAGTCTTAATGTAAATGTTCAATACTCTTATCTAAAAAGTTAAACCATCATTCACGAGAAAAAAAGAATTTTTAATATTTTTTTTTTTTATCGTTGATAGATATCGTATTTGTGAAAGACAATTGTTGTTTAAGATCTAAATGAAAATGGCAATAAGTTTATTTTTAATACAAAAATATCCGCATGGAATCATGATTAATGAATAAAACTTTTTAGCACGCAGAATTAATGAAAGGGAGACGTAGGAACGAGAAGGAGTAGACTTAATGGCAGCTGCAGTAAAAATTATGGCAAAGATTCTAAAGATGATTACTCATTAAGAATAAAGTGCAGCGTAATCGACGTTTTCATTTGAATCGCGACTGAGGACTGAATAATAATGCTCACAAATGTAAAAAGAAATAGATACATTACTGTCGCGTGACTGATTTTTAAATTACACTAGAATTCCCCCTAGGGGTACAAAAATCAGTACTTCAGAAAAAAAGACGTCACTATTCCTTACAAAAAGGTAAATAAAACAACAATGCACTAAACAGCTATGTCATCGGTCCAAGTAACAGATTACTGGCCCAAAGAATGGTTGGGCGGGTTTTTTTTAAAAGAAAAATAAGGAGTTAGAATTATACGCAAAAAATTAAATATAGGGAAGGGAAAATACAAACTTGGTGTATAAAAAAAAAGAATGCATTACTCCACACACGATTCGGAAAACGCTCGTTATTATTTATTCATTTAATGAGTTTCTTTTTATTTTTCCGATTTTCTCTTTTTCCATTTGCATTCCTCTCTTTTCCGGTTATATTTGTAACAGCCCCCCTCATTCTTTTTCTCTCATTCGTTCTCTTTCTTAACTCCATGTCCCCGCTCGTGGAAAACGATGAGAAAAAAAATATATACATACATATATATAGTTTTTTTTTTGTCCTCTTCGAGACTTTTCTCTATCCTTTGCCTCTCTTTCATTAAATGTTCGTATTTTTTTTTATTATTATTTCGAGCGGTTCGCCTCACTGGGTGTTTTATTTTTTATTTCACAAAACCCTGAGAGCTCACTATCACAACACTCCCTCCACCCACATAATATTCTCAGCCCCTACAGTCCATCACGATAGTTAATCTTCGAAAGGTAAAAATTTTTCAGCGCCGTTTTCCACACCAGCTTACATTTCTCTCTCTAAGCGAGCTCATTTTTTTTAATGTCCTCTCCGGCGTCTTTTTTTTTTCTTCTCTTGGCATAAAAAATGAGCACCCTGTCACTGTTTTGCTTTTTTATAGCCTCTCCTCCCTTCTTTTCTTTTGTTTTAAAGGGGAGTAAGAGAGTAAGAGAGGTAGATTCAATAATACGCATAGCAACCTGTTCCCCGGGCGCAGGAAAAAAAACTTTTTTTTTCTATATTTTTTTAAAGCACGGTAGAAGTACGCGCGCAGCTCCCCTCTTTTTTTATTTATTATTTCTATTATCTTTTATCGTTTCATCTAAGAATTAACGTTATTCAATCTTGTACTCAGGAATTTTATACTTTTGTTTTTAGTACGGGATATATGTTTAATGGTCGTAAAATATATATCTCTAAAAATGTACATTTAATGTTTGATTCGAATCCTAAAATAAACATTTCACCGAAATGAGTTGTATAAAAACTGAAATAGATTGAAACAACTACAAATTAAATAAGACAGTGAATGGGATTTCAGATTTTTATTTTTTATTTAGCTGTAAATAGGTAACCGCAGCTAACTGCATAGGGTACCCATGGGGGAAAATTAAAATTTTCAATATTTGGATGTTTAACATACGTTTGTTGAAATATCAAGGATATTTTTCTTTAAAAATTACAAATAATAATTAAAGTCCTCTTAAAATATAAAAATATGTGTGTTTTAAAATCTATCTATCCACATAGGCCCAAAACAATAATTTCTACCATTTCGAAATAGGTGAGGAACTGATTGTTTTACATATCTTATGCACAATATTATTTGTTCTCAGTAATTATGAGAAACTGACTGATTACTTATAATGTTTATTTAAGTAAAAAATAAATGTTATTTATCTTCTAAAACCATTAATTTTTATCGAATGAATAATAGAAGGATGATAAAGAGAATATTACTTGATGTAATTTCTGTTTGAGAACTTTCAGTTAAAATTTAAATAAAACTAAACTTTTATATGAAATCGCGAAATCTGCATATAAAACTTTCATGTTAAAAAAGAGCAAAATGAGAGAGAGTTAAATATATTTTACAACAGAGTTAACAGGACATCAGAGTTAAATATATTTTACTTTGAAAAATGAAATGAGAAAGGAATAAACTATTTAAAATATTCATTTTTTAAATAAAGAAATAATAATACATAAATATAAATTAAAATTAAAGCTGCATTGTTAAATTAAAACTTACTCTGAAAAATGAGTTCCTTTTTTATATTTCAAGTTCTAATATGCATCGTATCGGAAATGTTTTTCATTCTTGTATATCAAATTGGTTTCACTCAATTTTGTTGAATGTTGAAAAAATAGAACTTTTTATACCAATTTCTTCGAGTATCAGTAGTTAAGTAGGTGAAAATTTTTACTCATTTCTGTGGTATTTTTTCCCTTTGAAATTTGCTCCTAATACAGTAGACTATATAGAATATTGTATTAATTGTTTTATTACTATACAAAGATTTTTATTGTGCTTTTCAAAGGCTATTTATACTTTAAAAACTATTATTTAAAAATATTATGATTTGCAAAGATATTGGATTTCTTTACCCACAATTAGAATTAGAATACAGAAAAAGAACATAAAGTAGATTTATAAGAATTCTATTTCTTTATAATGAAATTCAGTAATTACAATTGTGATGTTTATCTTTATGAATCTACATCAGAAAAAAGCGCAATGACCATTGGAGCAAATGGCATAAAAATTATTTAAAAAAATGTTTTTTTTTGGCAAAAAAAGATTAATAAAAAAAAACGTAAAAAATTGATTCCAAAAAATAAAATTATTTGTTAAGACATGCCCAAGTAACAAATCATATTTGTCTTATTTATATTAGGTTTTTTCCAACATGAAATCTGAGAAACTACTTTTAAAATTTTAAAACCAAGCTATGAAACAATAAGCGACGATAAACATCCCTTTGTGATAAACGGGTCATCTGTTAAGGCACCCTTGTCTTCGAACAGAATGCACGACGAGTTCGTAGTTTTCCTCTGTATATAATCCAAAAGTAATATAGTTTCACTCAAAAGCATAAAAAAAAAAATTATGTTTTTTTAAAACAGTCGTTGAACAGTCGACCCAATTTTTTGGGTTTACGACTGCAAATGTTCAACTCCGTAGCCTTGTAATTTTGAGCACAATCCAGATCCAATCAAGGGAGCTCCTGGATCGAGTATTGGGAGAAATTGCCTTCGTGGAGGACTTTTTGATAGAACTAACCTGCATTTGCGTTGCAAGGAGAGGAAGACCACGAAAACCTCACGTGGTTAGTCTCATGGCCAGGGATTCTAACCCATGATGCGTCTAAAACTAAGGATATTTCCCATCAGCACTGTGGTCGGTGCAAGCCGGATGCTGATTCGTATCGACCAACCATCGGAAGGATTCGAACCCGGTTCGCCTCATTGGAAGGTGAATGCTTTATCCCCTGAGCCACCACGGCTTAATACTTGCATTTTGTTATTAGTGAAACTAGATTGCATGTCATATACGAGTTTTTACCAATATGTCTCTCAATTATTCCTCCAGTATATGTCGATGGGATATTTAAAATAATGAAACAAATAAAAATAATTTTGATACTGATTCTCCCCTCCATTATTCAGATACATCAAATAAAGAATAATTCTATTTTTAAAATTAAATTCTAAATCAAGAAAGTTCAATTTCTTGCAAATGAGATATTTTTTCATCGAGCTTCTGATACAATCATTAACGAAATGTACTCCACCCATAAATGCAGAGCGAAATAGCTGAGATAAATGCAGGCTTCAAAAGGGGTAAGATCGAAGGACAGGAAAAACCTTTCACGTTTTTATTCGCATGTTCCAATATATTGTGGGGAAAATAATAATTAAAAAAAGGTCTAAAAGAATGAACGTGCTTCTAATTGTAAGCTGCAGTGGGCAATTGCAGAAGTTCTTTCTTTTAACGAACAATTCCAAGTTTAGTAATGAGTAACAATGTTTTACCCCCGCATGCCTACCTCGCTACACTACCCACGCGACAGAGAGAACTATAAAAATCGATATGCAAATCAGCCAATCCATAGCTATACAATGAAAGGTGAAAAATAAGGAGAAGAAAAAAAATCTTTTAAGAAAAAAAAAATTTTCAGGAAAAAAAATTAGGATAAAAAAAATCCTTAAAAGAAGAGGAGAAAAAAATGGAGTGTCTTAAAGAAAAGGAAGAAAAAATATACAGTAAGAAAAATTGAAAGACGGAGGGATGAAAAAACATCGCAAGAAAAGGATGGGGAGGAGATAGAAAGAAGAAAAAAACGTGGGTATAAGACCGCCTGGGAACTCGAAAGATTTTTTTTTTTCTTTTAAAGAGTTGAGAGAATAGAAAAAGTGTTTGGGAGCGTTTAAAAGAATCCAGGTTATTGCCATTCGTAAAGTCACCTTACGGTTTAAAAGGGTTCAGGTTGGAAAGAAGGTCGCCAGAGCAAAGGTTCAAAGTGCATGGGAAAAAGGGTTATTATAGAGGGTCAAAGAAACGATGGAAAAATCAGAATAAACACTTTTCGATAGATCAAAGTCAAGGCTTACTTTAAAGTAATCGGTTTTTTATTAACTTTAATTCACAGATATTATATTTTTTGTTGTTTCAGCGCAAACGTGTTTTTTAATATTTTGGGTTAGAAAAAAAAATTTTTTTTCTCTCAAAACAGTCCTTTAGAGAAAACAACAAAAAAACATATTTGAAAGTGAAGTTTTTAAATAATTTTTGAAAAAAAAAATTTTTCATAAATTTTGCAGAAAAATTTTTCTTATTTTTGAAAAAAAAAAATCTTTATTGAAATTAGAATTAAATGAAAAAAAAAGTTGAGACTATACTTAGAAGTGAAATTTTGTAATTTACTGCAAATTCCCAATTAAGAGTAATAAGAAAATTTATGAGATGAAAACTAATTAGTTTTAAATATTAAAAAAATATATTTTTGTGTTTGATAAGTTTTATTGAAGCGATGTCATGAATTTTCAAGAAAAACTGTTTGTACTTACTTCTAAATCTTTGCATATTTTCTTTTTATTATTTTGAGGCTTAGGATCAAAAGGAGGTAATGTTTTAACTAAAAGGTCAGCAGCTTCAGCTAATCTCTGGATTTGGCTTTCAACTAAAACTGGTGTGAGAGACGTTGGCGAACCAGGTGCAGGAGGATATTCTCCCAATGCCTAAAAAAGAACATTATTTAAATTAGCTCTTAATATTTTTTAAATATCAAATAGGAAACTTTTAATCAAAATAATAAAATTTATCATATTATAATAAAATTTCAACGAGCTTAATATTATAATGAAAAATTGAATTTAGATATACATGGTGATCCACGAGGACCACCTCAATGTGCTAGTTTTGAACCCTTATCAATAATGAAGACAAAAATATATCCATTGGGAGTTGAAAAAAAATAATAAGGCGAAGAAGCTATCGAAATCTGACAAATTAGAGATAAAGAAGGTTAATGTAATACATATCAAAACAGGTTTAATTAGTGGTTAAAACTTGAAGGTGTTTCTCAAAAGCATTTCTAAATTCCTTTGTTTCACCTGTAATTAAATCTGTCTTGTTGTTTATTACATCCTCCTTCCTAAACTCTGATTTATCTGATTTCGATAGCATTCCCCCCCCCCGGCTTAAATATTAATTTGCGACCCCCAATGTATATATATTTTGTTTTTATTTTTTGATAAGGATTCCAAAATTGCATATTAAAAGTGGTCTTTATGGATTTACGGAACACTTTGTAACAATAAATTCTATAATTTTTACGAAACAAACCTTGAAATTTAACAACTAATTTAACAACTAATAATTTTAAAACTTTACATATATATATATATAATAATCAACATTTATCAATTTCTATCTCATATAAGTGAATAGAATACTTTTTAATTTCATCAAGAAAAAAAAAAAGATTGATTTTTACGAATTATATGAGAAAATTTTATGCTAATGTTTATGTAATGAGAAATATGAAATACTAAAGTTACAAAAATGATTACTAAAATTATTAATTAAAATGGATACATTCTGAAAGTATGAAGTATAAAATAATTAATTATTTGAACTACCTGTTGAAATGATGTTGGTTGAGGAGATGAAGCTTCTTTAGCACCGGGAGATGGTGATGATTGACTATTACTATTACTTAAAATAGGCATAGGTGGGCTTGGTTGCATAGGTGCCACAGGAGATGGTTGAGAAAGGTTCAAAGGTCTAACTACTGGAGGACTAACTGGATAAGGACTTTGAGGGACAGATGACGGCAATAAAGGCGTTTGAAACATAGCTGGAAGAGAACCCATAAACTCATGAATATAACATTTTATTCAAGACACAGCAAATTTTATTTTTTCTAATCAAAGCAAAGAAGCTATCCTATACAATTTAAGAGTAAGTTTTTTTCTCACTTAGATGATTTCGGCAAGTAATATTTATATCTTTATTCAAATAATTCACCTAAAATCATGTGGATTTTAATAATATCATGATGCGATCTCAATTTTGCTCCAATTGTATGTATACTCTAAAAACTATCTTAGAGTCTTACTCTCTGAACAATGAGCATATAATACCGTTATATTATAGATTAAATGTACTAGTGCCATAATTTCCATTAAGTTACTAGTGCCATAATTTCCTGTTTCCTGTTTCTTCCATACTTTGATATTAAAAATCTGTCAAAAATAAGGTATGTTTATTCAGAGTAAGTATGCTTTTGTATCGGTTTTGTAACATAATTAGTGCGTAGCATGCCAATTAATACTTAGTATTAATTAATTGGATTATTTAAGATTAATTTTAACTTGCTTCAAATTTAAGTTATCACATTTGAATGTTTTTCAGTCTATAATCGATAGAACAATTTAAAATTAAAAAAATAATAATAATAGTAACAACTTTATTTAACTCAGTTGAAAAGTTAAATAAAAAGATATGAATTTTATGCATCATATTTGTAATAGTTTTCCAGTATATTCTCTAAAGAATTTTCTTTTCGCAAGACGTTAGCAAATACACCATTTAAACTTAGTATTTGTTAATATTTTCCAGAGGATTCGAATCTATCCATTATAAAAGCATGCTTAACGGCTCTGCGAAGTTGGTATATATTTTTTATTCGATTACTAGTGATTTAATAAATATCTATCACTTAAAAATATTGATTAGCTTAAAATCAAAAATAATGAAAAATTAAGCATAACAAGTTTAGCTTTTTAAAGTATGTTTACAGTTTGGTAAATAAAATTATCAAATAATAAAATCAATAACTATTTATTAATATTTAAAAAAAGATAATAATAATAAGTTCAGGCATTTTACCGCCCTTTAGCCTAATACCCCCCTGAGTCCCACATTCCCAGTTCTACCCTGGATTGAATGTAAAGTTCATTTAGTTGCTGTTATACTAGTTCAAGTTTAACGAAATTAACTGCTTACTAGAACGGTATCAGCTTAATTTAAACCTTCGGCAAAATATATAAAACCACAATTATTATTATTTATGGAACATTACAATGTGTATTAAATTTATAATAAAAAATTTTTTTTTTCATTATCAATAAAACACAATTGACGATATTAATAATTATTAATTTTAATTAACAATTTTAAATAATGATCATATAAAAAATGGATGGTTTCCTTATTGCATTAATTAAATTAGTAAGAAATTAATTTATCACATGGATTGGGCAGTTAAGGTTAAAAGATTTTATAGGTTGTTAAGTTGAAGAAAAAAAAATTAGAATAGAAAAAATTAACATAGACAATTGCAAAGTAAACTTTCTTTTGTTTTTAATCAAAAATTCAAATATTTTTTCTTGAAAAAATGAAAGAATTTATGCTTATCAGGGTTACGTTTAAATTTTCATTTTATTTCAGCTTCAAAAACATGACGTATAACAATTTACCTACCCAGGATTTCGAACAATAATATTTTAGAAAACAAAAATTTATTATCTTTACTACTTTTCCTCTATTCATTTTTACACGCTTCGTTAATTTAAAAGAAAAATAAATAAATTAAAAAATGAAAAAAAAGACAAATTTTGTCTTCTGTTAAAAAAATATGTAAATAAAAGCTTCTGTAAATAAAAGCGAAAAAAAAATGGCATCGTATGAGAAGAAATAGAGTTTTAAGAAGAGGAGTAAAAAATATATAATCCTGTTTATTCGAATTGAACACTTTTACTGCAAAAAATGGACGAGATTTCATGGAAGCATTAGACTCTATTAAATAATAAAGACAGGATGAAAACTTAATGGTTTATGATGAAAAATTGCGATATGAAGTGAGATAAAGGAATTACATTTAAAGCTCCCGAAAGACGTAACTCGCTATTTCTATGAGTTGCCATTAAGACAGAGTAGAAAATTTTAGGTAAAGAGAAACAAAGTAAAGAGAAACAATGTAAAAATGAAACAAATTGAAAACATTGCTTATGATGAAAAATTCACGATATGACGTGAGATAATGAAATTACGTCTAAGTCGCCCGACAGACGTAACTCTTCTTTTCTATGTGTTACCTTTAAATGAGAGTAGAAAATTTTAGGTAAAGAGAAACAATGTAAAAAAAACAAGGTAAAAAAGAAACAATGTAAAAAGTAAGCAAAATGAAAATTTCTTTTTATATGATGAAAAATTCGCGATATGACGTGAGATAAGGGAATTACATCTAAGTCGCCCGACAGACGTATTTTTTTTTTCTATGAGTGACCGTAAAATGAGAGTAGAAAATTTTAGGTAAAGAGAAACAAAGTAAAAATGAAACAAAGTAAAAAGAAACAATGTAAAAAAGAAGCAAAATGAAAATTTCTTTTTATATGATGAAAAATTCGCAATATGTCGTGAGATAATGGAATTACATCTAAGTCACCCGAAAGACGTAACTCTTTTTTTTCCTATCAGTTACCGTTAAAACAGAGTAGAAAATTTTTGATAAAGATAATTGTTTTTTTAGATATTGGAGAAAAAAAATTTTCTTATAGAGATTAGGAATGAAAGCGAAACTAAAAAAATAACTTATTTAAAAATAATTTTATAAAATCAAACTAGTTTTAAATACAAGCGATTTTAAAATTAATGATATACATCGAGAGAAAAATTATTAAAATATTATTTGTTAAATCATTATCAGTGGTCGGGAAAAATACATTATTTTTGCAGTTTACTATAACTACAATTACTCTGTTACAAATGTAGTTAACTATAACTATTTTTTTTAAATGTGGTGATTACAAACTACTTTCGAAATGTGTTCACAATTTCACTACTTTAAGAAATCGAACTTTGCTGGAAGAATTAATTGAATTGATAGGTAATTGAATAAAAAAAAAACGCAATGGATATATTTTAACTGCGTAGGAAGACTTCACTTTTTCCAAACATAATGTTTTTTAAGAATTAGTAAATTACGAATATTATAATACCGTATCCTATCTAATAGTATAATGCTCTATGTTTGAATTAAATTGGAAAGGTTTACTATTGCGTAACTTAAAATAGCTGTACTAATTAACACTAGAAGGACGGAAAATTAGTATATACCTATATTGCCTAAAAGCAGTCAAAATGACAGTATTGTGAATGCGTAAATAAATTTGTTTAAAATTAATTTTTAACATTTATTATATCATTTACAGTCATATAACAAGTTATTAGTAAATATTAACAATAAAAAAAATTATATGTTGTACAAAAAGTCACAAAATTCTAAGAAATTGTGTCATTATAGTTTTTCTAATTGAAATTAAAAGCAGTCAAAATGACTTCCTTAGGCAATCTAGTGTTAAGCACAGTTTAATTTTGATATCAATCAAAATCTAAAAAATTAATACAATTTTAAAAAGTTATAAGATATAATAAAATAAAAAACTATTTAGCTATTTTTTATATATTTAAATTCAATTGTCAGCCTAAAGTCACATTAATTTTAAACAACCTTTACACTTCTTCTAAATATAAATTTGACGTCTCTCAGTCAAATTTTTTCTCTAAATTTAATTTTATTGAAATAAGTGGCATAAATTAATGAAATATTTTATTCTAAACACATTTAGAGAAAGATATGGATAGAACTTACCTGGGTTGTTGACCCATTCCTGCAAGGCTTTCTGTAACCTGCGAACGTGCAAAGGTTTGCTAGCCATTCCCACCAATGCCATAATTTCTAAAAACTCTTCTTCCCCAGCTTCACAAAGTTGCTGCACGTCATCACCACCTGAAACATGCAAGCAGCTTACCTCAACAACAATCACGAAATGGGGCAATCGTGGACACTCTCTTTTAGAAATGTGCTAACTTAAAAACAATAAATATAAGTTATTTAATTTTTATTAAATTTCAAAAATACTAGTGCCAAAAATTTGAAACTAAAATATCGATATAAAACAGTTTATTCATTTTTAGAACGTTATCCAATTTTCTTCTTTTTTATATTATTATTTAAAAATAGCACAAATGTGTTTAAAATGTTTTTTGTTTTTTTGAAAATTTCTGAAAATAGATTGACTTGGTTTTGATGATGCTATAAGAGGAATTTTTTAAGTGCTGACAGAAAAAAATAATCTGAACAAATGTTTCTTTCTTGTTTTTGCTTAAGTTTCAACAAGACAAATCAATGCAACGAATATATTTGATAAATTCGGAAAAGAAAGAAAAAAAATTACAGAAGTACAATTCAGAGATTTATAAACACCATTTCAATTTTTTTAAGGATTGTTTCATTATTGTAAACTTAGATTAAATTAAAAAACCTATATCAAAATCTGAAGTTCTTAAAAATAAATGTAACAGAAGAAAATTGTTAGAGCTGGCAAAAATTTACCAAATTTTTGTTTCTCTTTCACATCTTAGGGTTTCGCTAAATGATAAGAGCGAAATTAGATACATAGACAAATATGTAAGGGAAAAAAAAGGAAAAAACAGAAAGAAAACGCAGGTGAAAGACAGCTTACATAAAAAGATATAAGTAAGATTAATCAATAGACGGCTGTTCAATTCTAGTCACAACAATGATGACGTCATATTGAAAGAAAAATTCTGTTTCACAAACGCAATCGGTTTGAAAAACATATACTATTTTTTCATGCACTGTTGGAAATTTTGGCGCGTGTTGACATAATATGCTTTGAAAGTTTACTAGTAATATTACCAGGGTGCTATTTTGTATCATATTAGAGAGATTTTGCATATTATTTTGTATCTCTTAGCTACACTGTTATTTATAGGAAAATTTTCACATATGTGCATGTTCTATCCTTAATCTGAATTATAGCTCTAACTGGAATGGGTTTATTCAGATTGCTGTTAATTTGCCCCATTCAAGGGAGCTAATTTATGGTTTAATGTTGAATTTATTTTTCTAGCAGCATAAGGAGTCATCAACAATTTACTAAATATATTTTATAGAAAAACTTTAATACTTGAAGAAGGATAGGATATTTAAAACAACATCAGTATACTTTTATTAGATAGATAACAATAAAATCCATAAATATGAGTCATAAATAGCAAAATCAGAAAATAATGTTTTTTGATTGCAAAAAAACATAACAAGTTATATTTCTCCAAGCAAATTTATATTGAATTTTAATTATTTCTAGATGTGTGAGTTTAAAAAAAACAGCTATATATATATATATATATATATNACTCTGATGTTTCATCGATATATATATATATATATATATATCCTATCCTTATATATACTTCAGACTTATAAATCACATTTCCCAAAACAAATGCAAAAACTAAATTGAAGATCGTATCTCTTTTACTTAAATAGTTTAATTTCCTTTGCTTATATAAAAAGAAGTGTATTTTAAGATAATGCTTTATGTAACTACACCAAAGAACAGTTATAGAGAAAGTTATAGAAGGAGTTAAATAAGAAAAAGTAACAATCACATAACAGTTACAAGAAAATTAAATTTAATAAATAACTTTCCACTTACTATCAGGTTTGGAGAGAATTGTTTTAACTATACAGATCTGAATTTACAGCGGAAATAAGTTCAGGGCGCATATTTTATTTCTTGTCAAAATTAATTATAAAAATTTGCAAAAATAACGAAAAAATTTTTAATTTGAAAACTTGTTAAAGTTTTAGTTAAGTAAATTTTCTTTATCATCTAATGTGACAATAAATTATTACTTTAGTTGTACAGTTTATTTCCCAGAAAAAGATGCAATTATGTAGCTACTTAGGATATAATTCGCTTTAAAACAAGTCAAATATTTTTTTTCTGAAAAGAAGCGCTTTCCTCAAATTTTAAGAATGCTATTAAAACTAATATTAATAATATCATCAATATAATCTTATGAATAAAATATTACTGGCAAATGAAGGGGAAGGGTATGAGCAATACTTGAATAAGACATTAAAATTTTATTATTTTAATTTTTTGTAAATTAAAGAAAAAGAACTCTTAGAAAAATTTCAAATTTTGAACTAAAATAAAATTCAGTGAAAAAAAGAGGGAACCACAGAAACAGAACAAAAATGCTTTTATTTTAGTTTAATCCTAAAAATAGATTATAACAATGAATATTGTTACGTGAGCATAAGAATTGTTGAAAAGTCCAAGATTAATAAAAACATATTTATGTAATATTTGAACAGACTCCAGGTGGCAAAAAAATTTTAAAAAATCCATTTAAAGTAATTCATTTTTGAGCAAATCGATACAGACCCATTAATCCAGATAAATAATACTTAATTTATGCGGGTCATTAGCACAGAATAATATTTGTCTCTTTCACTAATCCAAATAAATGAATATAAAATGAATTAAAAATAAAAATACCGAAATAAAGTAGAATTCTTTCTTATTTTGGATAAAATTTAAAAAAAATATAAAACAATTACGTTTGCCCGAAAATTGACAATATCAAGTGTTAAATCGAGAGTGTTAAATCGATTTCAAATCGCTAACGATGACAACTTAAGCCAGAAAATTACAATTTTGAATGATAAAAATACCAACCAACAAAGGATCAGAATTACAAAAGTTAAAAATGTCAGTCATAATTTTGAAATCTTAGAGTGTCATTTCTCAAATTCTTCAAAATTCTGATATTAAAATTGTGAGTTAATATAGTTTCCTATTTCCTCAATTTAGTCTACAATATTGAAAGGATACTATGCCTCAACAAATAAATAAAGTTGTCATCAAAAGTCGCTGTTTTTAAACTCTTAGAAAAATATTTTAAAAATTTGATTTCGCACGTTTTATTGCATACATATTAGAAGAAGCTTTAAATTTTCTGATGAAAAAATCAGAAATTAGCAATAAGGTATGAATTAAAATAAACATGTAGTAAACAAATAATAAATACTAAAATACTGTGTACTTCAAACAATTTCAGTTTAACAGTTTATTTTTTAAACTGTAGTATAAAAAAATTAGCACTTTAAACCAGCATTTCCTGAACTCTGGGGTATGAATCAATTTTTGAGACAAACAATATTTGTGTACATGGGTTATAACTTGTAAGTATATTATATTGAAAAATGTAACAAATTTTTTATACAAATAAATATTATTCCACGAGATAAACGAGCAACAAAAAATATAAGAGTTACTTGAAATACATAATTTCAGTTTTTATTGAAATAAAAAAAGACATAATTTTAATAATTAATCTCAATTTGTTTTTAATGCCTTATAATTTTAAAAGGGTTATAATCATTATTCATTTTAAAATTTTAATAATTGTTTGATGTTATCTATGAGTAATTTCATGCACATCATTTAATAACATTAATTTTATTTATAAAGTACGTATGAATCAGTTTTTGAGACAAACTATATTTGTGAGTATGGATTATAACTTGTAAGTATATTACATTGAAAAATGTAAAAAAAAATTTATACAAATAAATATTATTCCACGAGATAAACGAGAAACAAAAAATATGAGAATTACTTGAAATAAATAATTTCAGTTTCTATTGAAATAAAAAGAGACATAATTTTAATAATTAATTTCAATTTGTTTTCAATGCATCATAATTTTAAAAGGGTTATAATCATTATGCATTTTAAAATTTTAATAATTGTTTGATGTTATCTATGAGTAATTTCATGTATATCATTTCATTATATTAATTTTATTTATAAAGTACGTGTATAACTAACTACTAAAAAAAATTAAATTCTAAAATAAATAAATTAAAAATCTGGAAACTGCAGTATCCATCCAATATGCCTTAAAAATTTATATTTGCTTAATTTCTTTCATTAATTATTTTTTCAAAATATTCTGGAGGAGAGGAAATGATGTTATATTATAATGATCATTAGCATTATTTTGTTTTCTTTTCTACTTTTGCGTTATAAGGAAAAAACATGGACAAACCGATAATGTTATCCAAAAGTAATGACTGTTAGTTTATCTTTCGAAAAGCATTGGTATACAACTCCACTATTTGACCAAAACCATAAATAAAAAAATAATATATTCAAGTAATAAATGAAATAAAACTTTTTTATAATGACAGACATTTAAAGCTGAATGAAAATAAGAGACTTACCTTGGCAAATGAAAGTGTCATAGTACGACAGTAAATTGGCTCTTTGTAGCACTCTATATAGTTGAAGCTCAGATTCGTTTGTAGGTTGTGATGTCATAGCTACTACCAAAAAGAATTATTACCACAACAATTATGGAAGCATATTTTTTGCATTTAAAATTCATCGCAACCAGAAAAATTCCATGCAACATAATGCATGCAATATAATGCAAAACCATGCAACATAATGCAAAAGGGTTGACTTTTCGAGAATTTTTGGGATACACCATTGTCATATTTTATAATCTGAGCATTCAAAGTAACGCACATATTTTTTTTTTAAAATTAAAATTAAATTGTATAGTTTTCAAAATGAAATATTTATTTTCAAATATTTTTCATAATTATTTTTCAAATAATAAAAAATAAAATATTTCCCCCCAAATGATTATTTTTTAAAAAACAAAATAAAAACAAGAAGAAAAAAATACCAAAACATTAAGGCAATGGAAAAATACTGAAAAAGGGTTTCAGGTATTATGGGAAGTATTACAATTGTATTTTAGATTATTAGTAAGCAAAATCAAGAAGTATATTTCAAAAGCCGAAAAAAAAATCAACATCATTTGAACGTAAAAAAAATATAATAAATCTAAGAAATCATAAAATTATACTTTTTTAAAAAAATGGAAAAAAGGTAAGTAAATAAAGTTAAAGACGATTTTTTTTTCGAAAAAAAAAAGAATATTATATTACAGAACTGAAATGATTTAAAAACATTTTATGTTTTGGCTTGCAATAAGAAATAATACACTATAAGACTATACACTTAATGGGGAGTAAAAATGAAAAAGATTATTACTTAACTCAAAGAGTGAAAATTTTTTTAAAGAATTGAGTTGCACTAAATGCAGGCGCAAGACCATATAAATTTCAAAATAATTAGCGCTTAGTTTTTTTTACCAAAACGAATGCAATTCCGTAACAATTTTTTCTAAGACTTTTTTAGCTTCAACGCGCTTAGTTACTATTAAAAACTATTCTAAGAATTTGTAAGTAAACTTTTTTAGCTATGACGCCTATTTTCTGACAAAAGCTGAATTATCTCTAACGCAGCGGTTAATTAAGTCGAATAAAACGTACCAATTATGACTACCAAAAAAAAAAATATCTCTAAATAAAAAATGTCTATGAAACGCAAAAGTGAAAGAGCGTGTTGAGCAACGAAATCTGTGTCATGAGACGAAAGGGTGAAGAGTGTTAAAATACAGAACGAGCTCTTCAAGAAAAGGTGTTTTTTCTTTTCTTTTTTGTGAACAAATATACAGCAACGTCAACCTAAGAAAGCATAAAAAAAAGAAAAGAAAATGCATCAGTTCGCGACGAAATGGAACGAAATGAAGACGAACTCTTATATAAAAAGAATAAGGTTTATAATGAAAAAAGTAAGTCGAAAGCTTATAGAGAAACAACATTGCTTGAAAAGTAGTTAATACTGCAAATTACAAACGTAAAATTTATTAACTTATAATAAAGGTTCTGTTAAAAGTCCCTACACTTTTTAAATTTTTCTAAAATGGAAGAATTAACTGCTTTTTTAAATAATCTACGATATAAATGTAAAGAAACAATAGTTAGAATAAGAAAGTAAATTTATTTATGAATAAAAATACAAAATGTGCTGGAGTAATAGGGGTGATAAAACTCAAAATATTAAATCAATGAGTTGTTAATTGCAAAAGCAACGAAATTTCACCATAATAATAAAGTTTAAATCATAGTTTAATCTTTCAGAATTCAAAACAAGTTTTGTATTGACTGTTATGAGCAATGTCCTTTGATAAGTATTGATTCAATTCAATCCATAAAAAGATACATATATAAAGAAAGAAAAGTGTAAAATTGTGGTTGCACAACCGAGGGAGCTATTTTTTTAATAAAATTTATTCATTATTTCATCATAAATTTATAGAAAAAATTACAAAGGAAGGTTTTAACATTGGATTACATTTTTCTTATCGTTTAAATTCATTTATTTTTTTCTCATTTTAATTCTCAAATAGGATCTCAGATTTTAATATGTCAAACTAAAATTTTTGCCACGTCAATTTAGAAAAAAATCTATTTCATTGATACAGTTAACTCATATAAAAAAAGAAAAGAATTCGCAAGTTCAAAAAAATTCTTAAATACTTTGGAAAATTATTATTTATAAACACTTCATTAGTGTACAGTTAATGTATCGATTAGACACAGAGGGTTTAAGAGTTTTCATTAACACGGAACTTTGAAGAAAGAAAACAAATAATCTTAACGAGTCGGATAAAAATAATATAGATTTATTTTTAGTAAAGTTATATCTAAACACACAAAAAGTTCCTATTCTTCAACAATGTTTTGGCACTCGTTCAAAACCCTTCTTTCCTCCTTAAGTATGAAAATAAACTCATGAGATTACTTTGAAGAAAATGTTGTTAGGTAAATATTACTAATATACAGGTTGATCCAACTTTCTTTAGGCAATAACACCTAATCACATGCAAGTACAGTGTACAAAATAATAATAAAAATTATAAATAATAAAACGAAAATCTTAATAATTTTACTCTTGTGTTGGGATTTTCAGGAACATTCTGAGTGACGTTTCACTTTGAAATATAAAATTAAAGGTGAAAACGTGAAAGCAATTCTTTTTTAAAAAAACATTGCTAATAATATAATACAGCAACAAAAACATAAGTTGCTTTTGAGACATGTACAATTATTTATTTTTAGTCTCAAAAATAAAGTATCGAAAATAAAGTAAAATATCTGCCTAGTAAAACATAAAGAAAATGCTTGGAAAAAGATTTTTGGGCATTAATGTGTTTTCAATATTTACAGAAATGAACTTGTTTATTCATATTATGTTTGATTATGCATATTAAGATTTATTTATTATTAATAGTTTTTGAAATAATGTCAGTTAAGTTTCCACAACGTCCTGTTGTAGGCCAGGTGATTATGGGGGCTTCCACTCTAGCAACATACTCAGCATTACTCAAAATGCGCTAGTCGCCACTAAGGATCGAACCCCAGTCCTTCACAATAATTTAATTTTACCACTGAGCCATCTGATGCCATTAGTAATCGTAATTAATATTGCTATTCCATTATCAAAACACTGTTGAATACATGTAACGAAATAGGAATATATGTATTTTATACACCTTTGAAAAAAACATAAGATAAAAAGAAAAAAAAAGATAAATGACTAATTAGCATACATGGAAGCTATTATTTGAAATACATATTTTATTTAGGTTACGTAAAAATAGTTGATAATTTTTCACCACACAAAGGGTTACGTGAAACCATAGGCATGTAGTTTTTATTGACGGTATATTTTATGTAGTTTATTTATAAATAAATTTGCGAGCTTCATTAAGAAAAATGAAAGAAAATAATACAAATATGCATTCAATTTTGATTACTAATTAATTACTTTACAAGAGAAACTAATAAACTAAAATCTCGCACATTTTTCATGTTTAAAAGTTAAAATGCAGTTTTACTTAAAAATAGCATTTGAAAACCTTAATTATTTAGGAAACTATTCTAATGTTAACAGGGTCTCAAATGCATTGACAAAAGATCTAAATAGAACGCAGTCGTACATTGCAATAATGTAATAATAAAGAATGCAAAATTCTTCATCAGTTTTAAATATTAGATTTCAGCGAACTAAACTGATTACGAAAAGCAAACATCGCAGTTTAAAGTTTTGGAATCAAATTTACTCAAGATGAAATTCAATAGCTGCTTAAAAAAATAACAAAGGAAAGATACATTAAACTATAGATAATTTTAACACAAACAAGTACCATCATTTGTTTAAGTAATCAAATTTTTTGAAACATGTTTTACCGAAGCATTCTTGAAAAAGAATCCATTTGCTTAACAGAAATTAATTTAACAATCATCAATTTAGTTTAAGAATATATATTTTAAAAAAACGATGAAAATAAATTACACCAAGTGGGAAAAACATAAAGTTGAATTTTATTATTAGATTATATTTTATAACATCGTTTAGACAAATAGTAAAATGTTTTCGAAAGTGTCAAGTGCTTTTCAAGCGGGTTTTATTAAACCGCTATTTTAAACGTCAAGGTCTCTATAAATTTTAAAAAAAATGTTCAATAAAATATTAATACTAAATGATTTTTCTCATATTTAAATTTTTTTCATAGAAAATTGAATTGCGAAGTTTGATCTGAAAAAAGATGTCAGTTTTAAACTAAAATTTTGCATATTAATTTAGTAAAAAAAATTAGAAAAGACTGAATTCTTAAGAAAAGTAAATTTTAATTTTATGATGCACACATTATTTAGAAATTATGATGTAGTAAAACATGGTATTCTACTCGAGGAAAGAACACGAACATTTAAAATAAAAAAGAACTTTGTTTGCGTGGGGTTTGCTTACAAGCTTTGCTTATGTAATTTTTTTTTCTTAAATTCTATAACACAGTTGAAATTGGAAAATGGTTCTACATAAAAGTAAGCTATTTTGATTTTAACACGACTATTAAGATAAAAATGTGCCAGATTAAATTTCACAATTTTGAATACATACATAATTGTTTAGCTTATATAAGTTTACTTTCCTTCTTATTATTAATTGGCATTCATCCAAAATGTACGTGGAATATTCAGTAAGCAGGATTTGAAGATTTGNTATATATATATATATTCATTACATAAATTCACATAAATTCATTTTAAAAGACTATGCTTTTATAATTTATAAATACCATTTTAAGAATAAATAATTTTTTCATAATTTCTTTGTGAATCTTGTTACCGAGTTGTTGTTTTACCGAGCGGTCAAAACTATTCAGCTTTGCAACTTTGAACCCCTCAATAGCCACAGAAATTGAGAAATAGGCTCATACATTAAAATGGAAATATTGCAAGGAATGCAATAGATAAATGAATTCAAAACAAGTCCCTTAAAAACTCAAATCTCTCCTATAGAAATTCATAAAAAAACTGCACTGAAAATTAAATGTAAACAAACCAATTGAGTCTGACAAGCTGCTGATTAAACATCTTGAATATATGTATAATGAGAATCAACT